GACCTTGTGGCTGGTCCAGTGCTTATACAACAGTGCCATACAAAGACTCCTGTGTAGTTGTGTCGTGCCTAATAAGAAATCTAGATAGTACATCACAAAAATAAAAACAAACAAACAAACAAAAACAACAACTATGAATCATCAAGAATACAGTAACATTGTAAAAAGAGAATCTCATCAGGTGTCAGTCATTAAATTGGCATCCAGATAATAATAATGAAGTATTCAATTTTTATTATGTTTTACCTGCTAACATGTGTTAACATACATTTTTATGTCATCATATTTTCTCAAATTAACATTTATCCCAGGTAGGTGCATTAAACATTCATAGGAACTGGATAGGACTCAATGTCCAATGGTATGCTGCTGTTTATTCAAACTATTGGAATGATTTCAATCAAGAAGGGAAGAAAAGGTTGGGAGTGAGGGTCACATAAATCCCTTCTGCAAATTAGGAACTAGAATTTTCCTATATATGGTAATGGATAACCCAAGTGAACAGGAGTTGATTAATGTAGAATTACAAATACTATTGTATACATGTCTAGGATAAAATAAAGTACATTATTTGCTCCCTGTGTGTTTATGAAATTGCATAATGAAAAATGTAAGGAAGAGATTTCTCATCAGAAATATATCATTGTTTACCATCATGGATCAGTGTAGTAAAAGGTATTATAATGACGTCTTATGGATCATTATCAGTTGTATGTGTATCTTGCAGCTGTAAGTCTTCATAAACTGCAGGTTGAGTCAATATGTCTTGATAAGGACCTTCAGCATCTGATCTGTTCAAACAATTTACTGCAGAAACCTGGAAATATGATAGTATAATCCATAATTATTCCACCCAATTTCTCAGTGATTTCTGTGATCTGTTCAATTGATACCCGCAATGCTCTTTCAAGCACAATAGTTGTCAACTGTTGGTAATATTGTTCTCAAGGGAATATCTGGAAATGTTTAGTTGCAATCAGTATCTTGGAAGTGGAGTGGAGTTACTGGCATCTTGTGTATACAGGCTAGATAGTCTGTTAAGCATACTACAGTACCCAAAACAACCACTTAGAATAACAATTACTGTTGTTGTTGTTGTTAGGTGCTGTGAGTTGACTCCAATTCATAGCAATCCTATGCATTACAGAATGAATCACTGCCCAGTACTGTGCAATCCTCACAACTGTTGATAAGTTTGAGCCCATTGCTGCTGCCACTATGTCAAACCATCTCCTTGGGCATTTTCCTCTTTTTCATTATTCCTTCTTTTTATCAAGTAGAACAATTATCCATCTCCAAATATAAGTAATACCAAAATTGGAAACCTCTGCTTGGCCGATGTTATCACAACAGCTGAAGTAATAGGGAAATTTCAATCATGTCAGAAACTAGTGGAAAATCCATATCTCAGTGATCTTTTCAGATATCTAAGCAGCCAACAATCCATGCCAAAATTCTGGATTTTGACAGGGAGAAGGAAAGAGGGCTATTTTATTGAATAAGTAAAATGTCATCAACAAACAGTGAAATATATTTGCTCCCTTTCTTCGTGGTACATGGAAAAAAAATACTTGCATACTAGATTTAGACTCTAGGAAAACCAGTAATTCATAAAGATTTTGCAGAATCTCTTGGAAAAGAGCTGGACTGCTAACCACAAAGTCAGTGGTTCATAACCCGTTAGCCATTCCTTGGAAACACTACTCAGGGTCACCATAAGTTGGAACCAACTTAATGGCACTTAACAGCAACAACTTGACTGGTAGATGATAAAGAACATTTAAAGTAGCATGGACTGCCAGAAGAGTGAACAAACCAATCTAGGAAGAAGTACAGTGAGAGTGCTCCATAGAAGCAAGGATGGGGACACTTGTCTCTCATACTTTGGACATATTATCAGGAGGGACCATTCCCTGGAGAAGGACATCATGCTTGGTAAAGTGGAGGGTCATCAAAAATGAGGAAGAGCTCAATGAAATGGATTGACATAGTGGCAGTAACAAAATACTTAAACATAGTAACAATTGTGATGATGACAAAGGACCGAAACAATTGTCTTTTGCTGTTGTCCATAGGGTAGATATGAATCAGAAACAATTTGATGACATCTAGCAACAGTGACTGGTGGTACACATATATGGCCATGTGGGCAGGCACATGTACATATATAAATATTTGTGTATGATTAATGTTGATTATGTGGCAAATGCTATGAGGTGCTGAATTAATATCAAAGATTCCACATGTGTTTCTGGACCCTTTTTATCTTTTACCTATTGTTTCAAATTTTCCATTGTTTATTTCACCTATCATAACTTTTACTCTTTGAAGATGGTTTGTCACTGTTTCCTTATTTCCCAATACAGTATACATGATATTTAATAAAATGTACATATGATATATAAACTCACTGTACTACATTTTAGATAAATGAATAAAATATGAATGTATAAGTGAATAAATGTAACTGACTTAAAATCATTATAAATGAAAATGTAGATGCAAAAGAATATCTAGGAAATTGAG